TTTATAGATAATTACCTTCGTCAGCTTCTCGTTCCCCTCCGGTATTTCCATAACAATTCCATCATATCCTTGCTGGGTAAGATACTCCACTGCCTCCATAGAACCTACCGTTAAGTAAGGTCTGTTTACACCTTCCTTCAGCAGGGGCTCGAACTTGCGGTGTTCTCTTCCAAGTGTGACTGTCCACAGCAGCTTCTGATGATAGGCCAGCGTGCATGAGGCAGGGAAAAGAAGCCTTCTCCGCTGACCCTCACCTTCCTGACATCGTTCCGTCCGTTTGTCGACATCAGTCTCGGCGTCGTTCTTCATTCTCTTGTCGTTTCCGTTAAGTGTACCATTACTGTCAACACTACGCCTTGCATCCTGTCTTCTCCGTTTCTTCTGTTGCCTTGTTAGAACGTCTTGATACTCACCCTCCTCGACTGACTGGCTGCTTTCTGAGTCCATGTTAATATTGCCGTGGGAAGTAGCCAGTTCTTCTGGTGACTGAGTCTCCATCGGTGGTGGGGAGGCCTGTGGTTGTGCTGGCCACCACCCCTCACACACACACACACACACACACTAAATATATGAATCCAGTGTGTAAAGCCTCCAGATCTTTAGCCCCTGCTATTGCTTTGCTCTTCAACAAGTCACTTGAACTCCAAACCTTTCCAGATATTCTAAAAAAAGCGAGAGTAACGCCTGTCCACAAATGTGGTGACCCCACAGATGTTAACAACTACAGACCTATATCAATCCTGCCAAACTTGTCAAAATTTTTTGAAAAACTTATATATAAGCAGCTTTACTCATATCTAGCCAAACTCAATATACTTAGCCCTTGCCAATATGGCTTCAGACCCAAAAAAAGCACTAACGATGCACTTATTAGTATGCTTAACTCTATTCATACAGCTCTTGATAAAAAGGAGTTCCCTGTTGGGTTATTTGTGGACCTGCGTAAACCTTTTGATACTGTCAACCACCATAACCTTCTTCTTAAATTACATCATTATGGAGTCAGAGGACACTCCCTACAATACCTCGAGTCCTACCTTACTGACAGGCTCCAATATGTTTCTGTGAATAATACAATTTCTCCCACCCTACCCATCAACATTGGTGTTCCTCAGGGCAGCATACTTGGCCCTCTCCTCTTTCTCATCTACATTAATGACCTTCCAAATGCCTCCCAACACCTCAAACCAATTCTATTTGCTGACGACACAACCTTCATTTACTCCAGTCCTGACCCTCTTGCTCTAAATGCCACAGTAAATACTGAGCTAATTAAAGTCCATCTTTGGCTAACTGCCAACAAACTCACCCTTAACATTGACAAAACTTTCTATATTCTGTTTGGCAATAAATCCTCTAGTCATATAAATCTCAAAATAAACAATACCCAAATTTGTAACAAATTAGATGGCAAATTCCTTGGCATTCTCATTGACCACAAGCTGAATTTCCAGGGACACATTCTAAATATATCAAAAAAAGTTTCAAAAACTGTGGGCATTCTTTCTAAGATCAGATATTATGTACCACGCCCTGCCCTGGTGACTCTCTATTACTCCCTTATCTATCCTTATCTCAACTATGGTATCTGTGCTTGGGGTTCTACTACCCAAAATCACTTACGTCCTCTAATTACCCAACACAAAGCTGCTATTAGAACAATATCCAACTCTGGCCCCAGACATCACTCGGTACCCCTACTCAAATCTCTGAATATGTTAGATATTAAGTCACTGCACATTCTCTCATGTGTATTATACATATATAAAACGCTAAACTATAATGCCAATCCTGATCTTAAAAGCTTCATAGAAGGTTGTAACAGAACCCATGAGCACCACACCAGAAATAAATACAGTTTTGATATTCCTAGAGTACGTCTTAATCAAACTAGAAATGCTCTGCAAATCAAGGGGCCCAGAATGTGGAATGACCTTCCCAACCATGTTAAAGACTGTACCTCTCTCAACCAGTTTAAGATAAAAACTAAACACTACCTAATAAATTCCCTGTAATCTACCTCACTCCTCTATTGTCAACCCATGTCTGTTATTTTCTTTTTTTTAATCAACACTGTTTGTCAACCTATTGTATTTGTTCTGCTTTTTCAGTCATGTTCCCCCTTTTTTTATCTTTATTTGTATTTGTTCTCAACACTTTTTATTCTTTATGCTCAATTAGTATTAAGTTCTAGATATTAATGTTTTTCTTGCCCGAAACGCATTGCGTAATAGTGGCTTTAGGCATTATATGTACTAGCTCTATCTATATATCAATCCATTAATGTAACATCACTTGTTTGTATATACCTTACCTGAATAAACATCTGAATCTGAATCTGAATCTGAATCAGCAAAATTATAAATTAAATATGCAATCTGGTATGCACATGACTTGAAACTGGAGTTATGTAAATTAATTGGATCAGGTAAAGCATAGTAAATTTTATCATAAAACTGAGAAATATCACACACTCACAAAATATATAAATCAGCAAAATTGTAAATTAAATATGCAATCTGGTATGCACATGACTTGAAACTGGAGTTATGTAAATTAATTGGATCAGGTAAAGCATAGTAAATTTTATCATAAAATTGAGAAATGTAAATTTCATGAAAATAATTAAACAAGTATACAACACACAAGTATACAACACACAAGTATACAACACACAAGTATACAACACCCCTCACACACACAAAATATATGAATCAGCAAAATTATAAATTAAATATGCAATCTGGTATGCACATGACTTGAAACTGGAGTTATGTAAATTAATTGGATCAGGTAAAGCATAGTAAATTTTATCATAAAACTGAGAAATATCACTGAGAAATATCACACACCCACAAAATATATAAATCAGCAAAATTGTAAATTAAATATGCAATCTGGCATGCACATGACTTGAAACTGGAGTTATGTAAATTAATTGGATCAGGTAAAGCATAGTAAATTTTTTTCCTGAAACTGAGAGATGTAAATTTCATGAAAATAATTACACAAGTATACAACACTCAACATGTAGTACAATATGATACTTAATAATGGATAAAATGTAGAAAATTTACACAAAAGAATTAACATGTAATGCAGAACATGTAGCAATAAGGCATCAAGAATTTAAAACAAATTAACTTTCTGTAAATGTGTAAATAATAATAATAATAATAATAATAATCACTCTGGAAAGAATACAAGAATATTCTGCAATGTTATAGCAACTGCTGTAATTAGCTTATAATAAAGTTATAGAGTACAGTACTATAAACACATACTGTAACATTTAATATAAAATGCTAAAGGAAACTTCAGATTAAGGTCTGGGGAAAACATAAAATTTGTCTATAATGCACTTCAACTGCTGAAAAAAAACAATATTATTTATACTTAATACACTGCACCAGAATGTACTTGGAATCACTTAACATAACATTACTAATGAACAATGGAACTTGTAGCTCCAAACACCACAAAAAGGAATTGAGTGAGGAATGGGCAGCTAATTCCTCTTATCAAGTCACTGGAGGAAAGAATATTTGATATACAGGGTTATTTCCTTATTAAATCGCAATTATTGTATAGCACAGTGTGTACCAGCTATTGTTTACTTAGCTTCGGGCTGTGGTATCTTCAGAACAACTTTGGCTATCGTGGAAAACAATCCACGAGGAGTCGTGTGGGGAGAGGTGAGTAAGGTGAGTAATAGTTTAGTTATGATCGTATAATTAATAAGACCTAAAGAAATATTAAAGCACTCCGTTAATTAAGTCCAATAAATGACTAGTAAAAAGTAAATTAAAAATTAATTTAAAAAGTGAAACAAAGAGACTTAGGATACCTAGCCCGCATTAGGTGACAAGGGGGTTAATTATGTTGACTCATTGAGAGTGATAATAAGGTGAGACAAACCACATAGGGTGAGGAAAGTGTTGAGGTTATCCTCATTAGCTATTATAAACACCTGCTGAAGTCTTTCTCACTTTAATCAAGCCATCTCTGACGAAGCACTGATGAATCGCATCTGGGCTTTGACGACGGATTTGACGCAGGCGGTAGGGGAGTTGCTGTCTTTTTCTAGTCAAGCACTCGTTGATGTAGATTCCCTGTCGTTGGGATGCAGCTGTCCGGACAAGATGCAATTTCATGGACTGGGAAGCCAGTTTCAGGCAAATTTTCCGCTGGTTTTGTCCTGATGGATTCTTTTTGCCTATTCTGTAGGCAGCAATAATGTCTGTTTTGTTTAGAGTGAACTGCAATTCTTTTTTTAAGAGATCAAGAGATAATCAAGAGATAAAGAGATTTTTTTTTTTTTTTTTTTTTTTTTTTGAGATATATACAAGAGTTGTTACATTCTTGTACAGCCACTAGTACGCGTAGCGTTTCGGGCAAGTCCCTGGAATACGATCCCCGCCGCGAAGAATCGTTTTTTCATCCAAGTACACATTTTACTGTTGCGTTAAACAGAGGCTACAGTTAAGGAATTGCGCCCAGTAAATCCTCCCCGGCCAGGATACGAACCCATGACATAGCGCTCGCGGAACGCCAGGCGAGTGTCTTACCACTACACCACGGAGACTGCAAATGTGAGCACTTTTAGTCTCTAATGTTTTTCCTGCCCGAAACGCTTTGCGTAATAGTGGCTTTAGGCATTGTATGTACTAGCTCTATCTATAAATCTATCAATTTTTGTAAAACTCTTGTATGTATGTACTTTACCTGAATAAACATTTATTTATTTATTTATTTACTTGAAACTCCCGCCACATCAGAACCTTGGTTTGCACCTGCTCAGACGTGTATTTATCATGGAAGAACTGTTTGATTTAAAAAGTATATTACATGTACTTCAATATTTACAGAAACAATTAAAAATAAATTCTTTTACTGTAACTCACGTGCAAAAAACATGTCTATTGAATCTGAAGATATAAATCACAAATAATAAGAAGAAAAATAAACTATTTGGAACCAGAAAAAATTGGAACGCTTAGGTGACCATCGCTACCATTATAGACAACAAACACCAGCTGGGGAGTGTTCAAACATAAATATTAATTCAAGATTTTCAAACAAACTTCACTTATCATAAAGAAAAAGCACCACGAGTGACCGCCAAGTGCTCACATTAAGTCCAAGTCTAAGAAACAACACTCAAGCCTTCCCTGACCGTCAACATTCATTGAGGCTCCACCCAGAGGCATCATGCAACATCACTCGTGCAGTGATCCAGAGGAGAAAACCTTCAACCAAACTGTACCTGTCATAAAGAAGGCAAAAACTGGCCAGTGTCCAGAGTGTGGGAAGGTGTGCAGGTCTGACAATATGAGCAGGCATATGTTAGTGCATTCAGGTGACAAACGTCACGAGTGTCCAGAGTGTGGGAAGAGGTTCAGACAGTATGAACATGTTAAGATTCACATGTTATTGCATTCGGGTGACAGACCTCTCGAGTGTCCAGAGTGTGGAAAGAGATTCAGACAGCTTGGACATGTGAAGTCTCACATGTTAGTGCATTCAGATGACAAACCTCACCATTGTTCAGTGTGTGGGATGGTATTCAGTCGTCTTGGAAATCTGAAGTCTCACATGTTAGTGCATTCAGATGACAAACCTCACAAGTGTCCAGAGTGTGGGAAGAGATTTAGATATCGTGGAAATTTGAACGATCACATGTTAGTGCATTCGGATGACAAACCTCACAAGTGTCCAGAGTGTGGGAAGGAATTTAAACATCTTGCAACTATGAAGATTCACAGGACGGGGCATGCAGATGTACCATTCAACAGACCTTTTGAATGTGTGGAGTGTGGGAAAAAATTTAGAGGGCGTAGTGCTATAATACAGCACCTGTTAGTGCATTTAGATGACTAACCTCATGAATGTCCAGAGTGTGGTTGGAAATTCAGACAATATAGAAAAATGAAGACTCACATGTTAGTGCATTCGACTGACAAACCTCACAAGTGTCAAAAGTGTGGGAAGAAATTCAAGTGGCTTCAAAGCATGAGGAGGCACAAGATGCTACATTCAGGTGATTGGCTAAACACTTTGAATATGAGAGATGATTTATAGAATGCTGAAGTACTATAGAGTACTACATGGAACTTAGTAGTACATTAACTTTCCTTTTATCTAATATACAATTTGGAAAAAGAGCTTTATCATAAAAAAATAAAGAATCTGAATCTGAAAAATATTGTGCCATCACCATGTCAGTTGGATGTCCTACAGAGGTAATTGTTATATTTTGTTTGAAAATATTCTTCACTCTGGAAGGTAAATATCTAAAGGTTTGATGACCAAACCACACATCAGAAAGTGAAAAGACGATGACATCCTGGACCATTATCAAATTGTGTAATTATACGACTTGATAATGGTTCAGGATGGACCAAAACATTGTCGTTTCTACACTTTCTGATGTGTGGTTTAGTCATAATATCTTTAGCCATGTTGTGACTCATCATCTGCATCTAAGGGTATTTTATTATTTTGTTCTTTTATGAAAATCAGATGCTCCTCATAGACCAAGCAAGAACTAGAGAAGCTGTCAGTGAAGAAAACACAAAATTGTTCATAAATATTTTTTTTTTATTTTAACAAAGATAAAATAAGGTATTAAATGTGTTTTTCTTTATACAGTACTAGTATTTATTTAAATAATGTATTTTTTTTTTTGTTCTCTTTAAACATTTATTTAAAATGTAGAATAATCTGTATCTAAGTTATGGTCATTTTTGTTGTAATATTATTTAGAATTAGAGCTAGTGTAGAAAACAGTTTGAGATATACTTGACATGAGACATTTTTATTGGTAGAAGAAATATATAATAGTTTTAATCAAGGAATTACTCTTCTGATTCCTATGCAAACTGATTTCCATTTTTATTTTTTTGTTTAGGTCAATTTATGAGTTCAACTTTTGGTTAGAAATATATATCACTTAATAATTTATAGCAGACTTGACTGCCATTATAACTGTCCATGTCCAAAAGTTTTATTTCTCTAGGCTTATTTTAGCAGTTACGGTATAATTGTATGACAATTAAATAAGCCTGACTTGTCAGCTATATTAGCATGATTGGCAATTATATTAGGCTGACTGGCAATTATATTAGGTCAATTTTATTAGCGTGAATAAATTATCTTTGCCTGACCATCTGACGAGACCATATTTGACTGAATCTGATAATTATTTTTTCCTGAATCTGGCAATTATAGTATCTTGAATCTGATAATTATGAAGCTCATGAATCTGAAAAGAACATAAATATGGTAATTATATTAGCTTGAACCTGGGAATTACATTTATATGAATGGCAATTAAATTATATGAATCTGGCAATTATATATGTATGAATCTGACAATTATATATATGTGAATGTAGCAATTATATTAGCTCGATTCTAATATATGTATACTCCTGAATCTGGCATTTGTAAACCAGAACTTGTTATTAATATTAGTGTGATTCTAGAACTTTTTTATATTGTGTAGTACTCAGTAATTCATTCAAAGTTTAATTACTGCTAGTGTTTATTTCATCTGTTTACAATTGCCTGAATCTGACAACTTATTGATATAAAAGGATGTCTGCTTGTAAGTTAGTGATTTAAAATTTGTATGTAAAGGTTTATGTTTGGGTATTGCTTAATTGGTTGGTATTATTATAAACCTGTATAAACAGGTATAGGAGGAGCATATATGGTTTTGATTGGTTGTTTAATTTCTTGTTGTGTTGATGGATGTGAATGAATTTAAGTTATTATTAATTAGACTATCATTAGTTTATATTATTATTATTTATATATAGAATTATGGGCAATACTTGGCTCTTATTTAAAACATTAATTATAAAAATTACTTGACAATTGTCTCAACATAATATTTATTTATTTTTTATTTATTATTTATTTACTTATTTATTTACAGAAAGGTATATTGGGTTGTGAGAGTACATAATATCGGTGTTCTTACATTCTTGCAAAATCACTAACACCTATAGCATTTTGGGCAGAATCCTTATCTAATAAAGGTAAGAGTATTAATTGGTGCAGTGTAGCAAAATTAAGTTTACCATTATAACTACAATATTAATTGATAATTGTAATTACATAGGTTACACTGGTGATGTTGCATATCTTAAATACGGTATTACATTTGGAGAAGTAGGTAGCATAAAATACAGTGTGAGTTTGAAGGACAATGTAGGAAACAATGAGGATGAAAACAGGTACTTTTTGGTTTTACAGTACTTGTAAATAAGGTATAGGTTGGACACTTTTTTAATTCATTAGGGCGCGAGTTCCATAGACTGGGTCCTTTTATTTGCATGGAATGCTTACTCAGATTTAGCCGGATTCTGGATATCAAAGAGATGAACAAATATCAAAGAGATATTTATTTCTGGTGTGGTGCTCATGGGTTCTATTACATCTTTCAAGGAAGAGTTTCAGAACACGGTTTGCCTCTAGGAACAAGGTTTTGTACATACAAATAGAACAATGATACCATCCACTCACAAACTTGGAGTGTTGTAGAACTTCATTGACAATTGTCTCTATATATGTTTCCATCGACTCGCTGTAACTGTGTTCTTTTAATTGGCACATAAAGGAGCTTCATGTAACATTGTTTATTTACCCAATGACAATGCTTCGGTATTTGTAGTCACAATTCCTAGTTATTAAGGTAATTGGAGAAGCAGCAAACCCTGAATATATGAATGTCTAAAAGTTTTTTTATATTTTTTATTATTATTTTCTACCACAGACATGGCCACACATTTACAATGTTAACCAGCATATATACATTTTCTTCTGTACTCCATGGACAGGGTTAGAGATTTGTTAAACATAAAGTGAAGGGATTTATTGAACAATCAACCACAGAAGGTGATTGTAGTGCTTTTAAAATGCTAAGCTAGCCTACATATGTAAATACATAAATACACAGATTTACGTATGCCCTACATAAAGTGTTCGATGTGTCTTTTACATAGTCATTAATGTGCATTTACAAAGGTGAAATGTAATGCTGATCAGCTTCTACATACACTTTATACACATACAAACATACATATGCATATATATATATACAGTATATATATATATATATATATATATATATATATTATTAAATATGACCGAAAAAGTAAGATTAATAATTCTAACACGAATTTTCTCAATCTTTCGTACATTACGCTTCACTGTTGGAGGTAAATAAAAAATCACTTCTCCAAAATTCATTTTTATTTCTAGTCTGACGCGACACGGGCGCGTTTCGTAAAACTTATTACATTTTCAAAGACTTCACAAATACACAACTGATTAGAACTTGCGTTTCCCTGATTTTATATCTACATTTGAGTGAGGTGGGAAGGGTGATGTGGCATTAACACAAGACAGAACACTAGGAGATATTAATAGGGTATTAAAAGTATCAACACAAGACAGAACAGAAACAATGGGTATTGAATAGAAGTGTTTGTAGAAAGCCTATTGGTCCATATTTCTTGATGCTTCTATATTGGAGCGGAGTCTTGAGGTGGGTAGAATATAGTTGTGCAATAATTGGCTGTTGATTGCTGGTGTTGACTTCTTGATGTGTAGTGCCTCGCAAACGTCAAGCCGCCTGCTATCGCTGTATCTATCGATGATTTCTGTGTTGTTTACTAGGATTTCTCTGGCGATGGTTTGGTTATGGGAAGAGATTTGGTTATCTCTTCCCATAACCAAACCATATATATATATATAACCATATATATATATATATATATATATATGTCGTACCTAATAGCCAGAACGCACTTCTCAGCCTACTATGCAAGGCCCGATTTGCCTAATAAGCCAAGTTTTCCTGAATTAATATATTTTCTCTAATTGTTTTCTTATGAAATGATAAAGCTACCCATTTCAATATGTTTGAGGTTATTTTTTTTTATTGGAGTTAAAATTAACGTAGATATATGACCGAACCTAACCAACCCTACCTAACCTATCCTTATAGGTTAGGTTAGGTTAGGTAGCCGAAAAAGTTAGGTTAGGTTAGGTAGGTTAGGTAGTCGAAAAACAATTAATTCATGAAAACTTGGCTTATTAGGCAAATCGGGCCTTGCATAGTAGGCTGAGAAGTGCGTTCTGGCTACTAGGTACGACATATATATATATATATGTCGTACCTAGTAGCCAGAACGCACTTGTCAGCCTACTATGCAAGGCCTGATTTGCCTAATAAGCCAAGTTTTCATGAATTGTTTTTCGACTCCCTAACCTACCTAACCTAACCTAACCTCACTTTTTCGGCTACCTAACAGAACCTAACCTATAATGATAGGTTAGGTAGGGTTGGTTAGGTTCGGTCATATATCTATGTTAATTTTAACTCCAATAAAAAGAAATTGACCTCATACATAATGAAATGGGTAGCTTTATCATTTCATAAGAAAAAATTAGAGAAAATATATTAATTCATGAAAACTTGCCTTATTAGGCAAATCGAGCCTTGCATAGTAGGCCGAGAAATGTGTTCTGGCTACTAGGTACGACATATATATATATATATATATATATATATATATATATATATATATATATATATATATATATATATATATATATATATATATATATATATATAATATATACACATATTTGCCTCATTTACTCTCACAGAGTGAGATAGCTGATAAACTGGTGTGCAATTACGCACTTAACCACTGAAAGTGATTAAGATGCCTTTACAAGCTCAGGTTATATAGTTACATCACATACATACATTTATAATTGATCAAAATTCAAATTTCAAATGTTTATTCAGGTAAAGTACATACATACAAGAGGTGATACAAATATTGATGAATTTATAGTTAGAGGTAGTACATACAATGCCTAAAGCCACTATTGCAAAAAGTGTTTCGGGCAGGAAAAACACTAAAGACTAAAACTTAATACTAATTGAGATTAAATTATAAAATGTGTTGAGAAAATAAAAAATAAAAACGGGGGGAACATGGCAGAAAAACAGCAAAAATACACTTTGGTCGACAGACAGCATTGCTTAAAAATAACAGACATGGGTTGACATTATAGGGGTAAGGTAGGTTACAGGGAGTTAATTAGGTAGTGCTTAGTTTTTATCTTAAACTGGTTGAGAGAGGTACAGTCTTAACATGATTGGGAAGGTCATTCCACATTCTGGGTCCCTTGATTTGTAGAGCATTTCTAGTTTGATTAAGTCATACTCTTCGAATATCAAAAAGGTATTTGTTTCTGGTGTGGTGCTCATGGGTTCTGTTACAACCTTCAATGAAGCTTTTAAGGTCAGGATTGGCATTACAATTCAGCATTTCATATATATATATATAATACACATGAGAGGATGTGCAGTGACTTAATATCTAACATATTCAGAGATTTG